TAGCATAATAGGCCACACCTAAGAGCAGAAACTCATTAGGATTGGCTACATTAGGGGGGTGTGGCCTAACATGCAAAGGAGTTCCTGCTACCAAAAAAAGCCCTGGGGTTTGACGACAAACAAGGTAAACAGAATAAGAAGCAAAAGGTGCGTGTGGCTGGATGACCACACTTCTGGTAACATGGGGGGTGCGGCCTAATAGGCTAATGAGCTGTGCTGTCAGGGGTGTGGCCTAATATGCTAACAAGTTCCTGCTCTTGGGTGTGGCCTATTATGCTAATGAGCTCCTGCTGGGCTGTTTCTACAAAAAAAAGCCCTGGCTGCGGTGTTAATAGCTGCCATACCATCGAATGGGGTTGTGCTAGTGGGCAACAGAAAACCCTTTCCCCCTACACCTAGTTAGGGTTGCCAAGTCCAGATTGGGAAATACCTGGAGATTTTGCGGATGGAGCTTGAAGGGGGGGAGGGACGTCAGGGGGGGTACAATGCCACAGAGTCCACCTTCCAAAGGGACCGTTTCCTCCAGGTCAACTGATCTCTGTCGCCTGGAGATCAGTTGTAATAGTGAGAGGTCTCCAGCCACCGCCTGGAGTCTGGCAACCCTACACCCGATGGTTTTGTAGGGCGAATGGAGCACCTGCCTTCCACTCCTGAAAACGGCCATTCAAGGGCCCCTGACACTTTGCCCTCTCGCCTCCTGCTTTCCAAACCTGCTGCCTCCCCACCCCCACCCCCCGGCTTTCTGCTCTAAAATTCAGCCTCTTGCTCTTGCTTTTTGTCTTGGGGCAGGTTTCTGAAGAGCAGAGCCGAAGTATCCTCCAGCGCCCGCTGGACTTGGGACTGGTGGGGTTCTTTCTCCTTTCCGCGGCGTTCACGCTCTTCAGAGGCCTGGTGAGCAAAGGTTTGGTCCTCCGCTTGGGCCAGAGAGGCTTGGGGAGGGTGCCTTGCGAGCCCTTGGTTCTCCTTGACCTCGTGCCCTTGGAGGAGCCAGGCCGTAACCGACCGGCAGAGCCGCCGTCGGTCAGGAGAGCTAAACGACGACAGCTTGAAATTGCTTTGTGTTGTTTGTGCCTTTGCATTTCCGGCGTCCGTATTTAGGTCGTGTTGGACTGCCCGGCTGACGTTTGCTTCGATTATGTGTACCAGCAAGAACCGTACCTGCGGGACCCCGTGGCCTACCCCAAAGTCCAGGTGAGCCGAGAGCATCTCACCCGACCTGGCGTGGGTGTCCGCGGGGGCCTCTTTCATGGTACCATTAGCTAGGTGCTTTGGTACGGGAGAGGAGGAAAAAAACCTCTGGCCCTTCTTTTGTGATGGGCAGAGCAGGCCTGCCTGGGATCCTGGAAAAACTGGGGGGGGTCCCCAAACACACACCCCTCCTCACTTCCCTGCTGTACTACATGCCAATTCGCCTTCTCAGCCAACCTTCCACACAGATCAGTCCCTCTTTGTCCTCGTTCTCTAGTTTGGTGTAGTGGTTAGGAGCACAGACTCTAATCTGGGAGAGCCGGGTTTGATTCCCCACTCCTCCACTTGCAAGGGCGGGGTATAAATCCAATCTCTTCTTCTAGATGTTTGGTGTCGTGGTGAAGTGCGCGGACTCTAATCTGGGAGAACCGGGTTTGATTCCCCACTCCTCCACTTGCACCTGGCTGGATGACCCTGGGCAAGCCGTAGTTCTGATAAGAGCTGTCCTT